CTGCACATAGTCTTCTGACGCTTGGCTACTAGATAGTGCCAAGAGCCAGGTTTTGAGGCACTTCTCAAATCTGAACCTTGGATTCTAGAACAGCTATTCCAAACAAACTCATTAAAACCCCTTATATTCTGGCACAGAAAGCATAAGCACATACCATTCAGATCTATAAAATACAGAGTAGAGCCAAGTTAAAAGGGAATGCAAGTAATTTAAAAGAAAATGACTGATTTCACTCTCCCTCTTTCATAAAGAAGTCCACTCAGCTGAAGTTGGACATTGCTCTAGTGCCTGTAGGCTTCTGAAGAAAGATATCCAACAACTGGGGTTTGGAAGCACAGGACTAGATTCTGTAACAGCTACACATGCAGCACAGCTACATTGAGATACTGTATCAGATCTGCAACCTCATCCACAGATGAGGAGAAAATCTCCAAAGCTAACAAAGAAATTACTTGAAATGCTTGAGAACAAGAAGCAAATCCTATCCTGTAGCTTAAAAAAAAAAACCTTCACACATTAAGATTGCTGGAATGCATCTTGTATTACTTGAATGCAGCCATTACCCCATTCAGTAGTTTGCTAAGTACAGTTCCCAGGGCTGCAATCCTAAAACAGACAGTGCTAAGCAGAAAGAGAATTGAAAGTATTCTATTAAAATGAGATTGCTCCACTGGCCAGTCTTTAAAGCCTCCTACATTTGTATTAGACAAAATACAGCTAGCTCAGTGTTTTAGAGATATTTAAATTAAATTAATTGCCTGAACTGCAACACTTGCTGAGGCAAAGTATTTCTTCTAAAAGACAGTGTATCCGGGCAGTTAATCTTTGAAATCCTGGCAATCACTTATACATTCACCAGATAATTGAAGACTTTTTAAAACTTCAAAGGCAAAATATAGGTACAAGAAATTCTGTACAGACCTACCCTCCAAGAAGATGACAAAATGATACACACAAAGGTCCATTAAGCATGTTCTTTGCCCTGCTCACCCTAGAAGGTCCTAAATAATGGACATAGTATGAAAAAGCCTAGACTAATAGCTTTAAATGATTTTACATCCACAGATAGGTCAGGAATGAAATGACAAAAGATATGTTACACATCAGGAAACATTCTCACCCCTTTCTTCAAGCCTGACTAACACCTGAGATACACAGTGATGCAAATGTTGCAGTTGCAGCAATTTTCTTAAGAAGCAGTCTATTAGCAGGGGTTTGGTGATGCCTGACATTATACTTTTCCCATAACTTTTACACAGCATCTGTACCATTTAACCATACAGGTTTCAACGAAAGAGAGCAAAGGCAATGCAAAAGCTTTAAAAAACTTTGCTTGTTTTCTGGTCAGACTTTCGAAACCATTTGGTGTTCCCATGGCCTTTACCTGTACCTTCCTACAGAAAGAGCTATACATTAGATACAGCTTCCAAGATAACTATAGAACAATATACTTGTTAACCTCTCATCGAGGAGTGTTCACCAAGGAGCAGCTCTCACTTCACAGTATTAGGAAAACTGTTGCCTATAGTAATGTTGCATCTTCAGCATCCTCAACCCGTGTCTAACAGCACCTCTCATAGCTGAGAACCCACTGCAACTTACAGACCTTCCTGTAACCCCGAAGGAAGACCCTGACACAAAAGCAGCTTGCCACAACTCCATCCCTTCAAGCTGAAGCAGCATTAATGAGTAACAACGGTTAACATAACTGTTCAGCAGTTGGCCATTTTATTGCTAGCTAGGGAACACTATAAAAACCACAATTGAGACCAGAGCACGAAGATCTTTCTTTACTACAACACAACAACCTGCCCTGGTAGGCATTAATCAGACTATACAAGTATAGAGAGCTAATTAGACTAACAATTCCTCTCTAAGGCTCCATGATTAAAGCAGTATGAAAATGCATATACAGCCAAAGACACACGGGAGGGTGCTGAATACAATTTAGGTGTCAGCTCTGTTAATGCTATATTTTGTAGCAGCCAAAAAAGCCAGCTAGTGAGCTGCTTTTTTAACACTGGGTAGTCATGCAATACAAACATAAGGTTTTGATGCACCCAAGCTATTTCATATGAGGCTTAAAGGAAATGCCTAGTAACAGCCCTATTCTGAGATTGGAATAAATACTGTTTTCTGAAAGTAAAGCAGTATCTTCTGGTATTCATCTCTAGTAAATGGAGCTTCAGCCAGCACTTGTTCCTTTTCCATCCATTGTCCCAGCTGAACTCCTCAAGAGAGTTCCCTCTTCTAGGAACTGTTAATTTGTGATTCTGGGAATCAATAAACAGCAAAGCAAACATCAACTTACAAAGTGCTTTCAATCACTGTCTCCTGTTTGGCAGATGTTAAAACGTATTTCAAATATTGAAAGCCTCACAAAACTGCTGGCTTTTCTAGCTCAAATTTTGTTACTCACTTTTTGCGTTATCTCCCATAACTATAAACATTAGCAAAATAAATAACAGAATATTCTGTACAGAGGGAAAATATTACCTTTGTATTATTTAACAAAATGTATTGTTCTGGTTTATTTTGCAGTGGGGAAAATAATAATAATAATATTAAAAATAAAAATAATAAAAATATTAAAAATAAAAATAATAATAGATGAAATCACACCCTAATTTATAACTTCTTCTGGTTGATCCAATTTTCTTAATTGGCTCTTGTCCTCTAGCAACGACTATCCAGATGACAGAATAGCCAGAAAAAGGTGAAACATCACAGTAGTCTTTAAGCTCCGTAAGTACCTTTGTCTATAATGCGATGATATTCTTGTCTCATCAAATTCAGAATTCATGCAGATTTTTCTTGTGCTTCTCTATATTGACATGGATATAAATCTCATCCCATGGACTTTGCTTTTGTTCTTTTCTAGCTTTCTCTTCACAGTATCTGGCTGTATCTCTCTGACCTCTTCCTAAATAGTGTGTTCCAAAACCTCATTTCCCCACAGCTGGAACTACTGTCATGCTGTACCACTTTTTCTCTCTTGCATAAGGTGCTCTTTCTCCCTGCAACAAATCTCTTTAAAAAATTTTCTTCTCTGAGATCCTTTTAAATTTTCTCTCCTCCCAAATAACAGACTTAAAATTCATTCACCACTGAATAGCTTTAAATTAAATTTCTGTTGTCCTCAGTTTCCCTTGCACCACTTAATTCTAGAATGTGTTCCAGGATATAGACAATGCATCAGGTAAGTGGCACGTACTTAGCTTGGAATTTTGCATTTGCACTGAAATATGTATGCATGAGATATAGTTAATGAATAGTGCAGTATTGTCTTCTTTGACTAATACAATAGTTGCAAAAAAAAAATAAGTACATGAACATGTATTTTTAACATACATAAGTCAATGAAAAATTTTCACTGTATAAAAGTCATGTTAGGTATTTTAGAAACTAAAACAGTTTTGCAGAAAATGTCATTTTTTACCATATTTTGTTATGATACTCAAAATACACCTTTTAAGAGAGTGTGGAAATTAAATTAACCTTAATGTTATTTACAAGCTCTGACTATTTTAAGTGTTTTTCTCTCACTGGCTTTTATGGTATAATTCTAGCAAAAATAAATGTGGGTTGTGTGTTGGTTGGGTTTTTCTTTTTAATACCACTTTTGTGCTTTAAACAATTGTAGGGCTCAGTTTTAAGTGGGGAAAAGACCAGTTCACAGACTGAATTATCTGCTTAAAATTTTCCAATTTGCCTACGATTTACAAAAATCTCTGGGTATTTTTCTACTGTTTAATATAATTAATTGCTTCTCAATTCAAAATAAGTGAATTATCAGAATGCAAGAGAATTTCTGCATTGTATTAAGTACAACAAACTCACAATGAGAAGTGTGGAAGATCCTTTAGAATTCGCAATTTGATTAAATCAGCGTGAATTTAGATAAGTCCGCCCAACATATGAAGAAGTTGATACAAGATTTCAGAACTGGTTTTGAAATATGAAATCCTATCTATCTGGTTTGTTCCTAACAAATGACATACATTAGTTGATTCTGCTTGGTTTAGACAGAATCAAACCAATCCATGAGAAAGAAAAACATCACTAGCTGCCTTATTTCATTTTGGTCATAAATTCAATATCTGGAGCAGTTTCTCAGCTGTAAATTCAATGGATTCAAAGTAGTTCTACATACAAAAGACTACGCCAATATTCATTTTTTCAAATGTTTCTCTTAAGAAGGACACAATGACCACATCTAAAAGGCTGTGATTTTACCACTTCTCCACTGAAGGCCATATTTAGGGTTAATTAACAGAAAATAATCTGTTTCTTAGCATACATCTTCATTTTAAATAAAACAATTTTGCACAGGAGAAATAATCTTTCTTATACAGACTACATCACACATACAAAATAAGTGCAGTGTGTGTAAATACATAACTACTCTACTGTTTGCTAAGTATAACTGAAAAGAACAAAGACTAAACTTAAATTTGAATAAACACAATACATTGCAGCACATCTGAACAAAACTCTGATCAGTCTATTTGGTGTTTTTACATATTCTATTAAGAAATCAAGAAGCAACAAAAACATGTTACAAAACTTCAAGTTTAACTCTTGCAAACTGAGCTGGAGACGCACTCTGACATATTTATGTAAATACAGCACTACTAATGCTATGAGTAAGTGGGGAAAATGTGAAGAAAATCTATTTTGGTATCCAGATTTTGAACTAAAAATCATTTGTGTTTTAAAATAATGTCAGGGAGGTCTGCTGTGCCATTGATTTTTTTAGCAGAAATCTACATTTAATTCAACAGGGGAGTCCTGCTTCAAAATAAAATGCTAGAGCATGCCTGCTACATTTAGGGTCAACTGGTATAAATCAGAAGAACACTGATTATAATAGATATATCCTGATTTTCTTTGGCTGTAAATTTGGCTTTTAAAAGCTGATAGAAGCTATTCATATGTGCTACAGTGTAGAGAGCCTGACAGCAGAATGGCTGCAGGACAAAGGCCACGAAACTGTGTAACTAGTCAAGATCTAGATTTTCCCCCTCCACAGAGATGACACTTCCTGGCTTGTGCCGATACGGTTTGGCAGGGTCTTCAGCATTCAAGGGTTTTAGGATGGGGTTAACTTCATACGAGAAGGGCATGGGATGCAGCGAGTTGAAATCAAAGCTGAGATTATCCAGAATAAATTCCAGTTTGATATGGACACTCCGCAACAGCAGGTTAATAGCTGGAGTTTTGCACAGGATCAGGTAGGAGGAATTCACCAGACATGGTTCTTCAAACTGCTGGACACTGCACAGAGCGCCCTCAGGGCACTGGGTGTCAGGGATGATTCTGCGCCATCGTCCCAGAGCTCGGCGTCGCCGTTCGGATGGGGAAACCGTAACTCGGATCTTGGGTTTCTGTACAACATCCAAGTTGTAGCCATGAACTCTGAGCACTCTCCCTCCACTGAGGAAGCTTTTAGGTGGCTCTGCAAAAGTGACGTTGGGATCCAGAGTGTATCTGAAGAGGGATCCTTCCAGTCTTCGCTCTTGGTCCCCGTATTTGATGGTGACTGGGAGCTCTGCAGACACATTGCTGGGACTGGTCTGGCATGCCAGCTGGTCCTCTGTCATCTCAGAGAGGATGTGACATGGGAGGTCTCCAAGCAGGACACTGATTTCACTAGGATGCCCAGTCAGCAGCTTTGAGCCCAGAAGGGTAAGGCAGGTTCCTCCTGCTTTGGGGCCCTGAGTTGGCACAATGGATTTCAGCTCTGGGTTCTGATAGGTGAAAATGTGCCCAGAAACTCCACGTCCTCCTCCAGGCACTTCCACCACAACGTGCCCAGATCTCTCTGTCCAGCTCCTGCCAGTGACGCACACGATACTGCTAGAGATCTCATACTCTTGAGCATCTACGGCACAGGGAATTCCTGCAACAGTGACAGTTTCTGCAATGTCTTGATGTTTCTGCCCGAGGTTTGAGCCAGTGATGGTGATTCTAGTGCCACCTTCCACTGGTCCAGACAGGGGGTACACAGAGTGAATGAGAGGTGCTGGACACAAGTCTTCTATATCTTCCTTGCAGGAGCCCCTGAAGATACAGCTGGGGTTGTCACCTCCACACCACACACAGTTGTACTTGGAGTCAGCAGTCTGGCAGCGGCTACAGTCAGTGTGTCCCACAGAGCAGTTGTAAAAAGTCACGTGGAGATCTGCAGCACTGTCCACTCGAAGGTGTCGTTGCCTCTGCACAAACACCACAGCATTGAATTCGAGTTGAGGCGCTGTGTAACTGTACTGGTTCATCTGGCAGGTGATATAACAGAGGGATTTGTTTGTTTCTTCTCCTTCCACATAAGCATCCATCACCACTGTCCTCCCCTCCAAATTCAGGACACACTCATAGTCCCACTGCTGGTCCTGATAGAGGTGGAAGTTCTTTCCCAGCAGGGTTATCTTCCTTGCCACGTTGACTGGAAACAGTGAAGATCCCTGGATTCGCTGCACACAGGGACATGCATCTGGACCCCAGCTAAGCTCTTCATCCTCTTCCCAAAACTCAGGAGCATCATACTGATAGTTGAGGTCAGGGTGAAGGATCCTGGGGAAGTCAGGAACATCTCTCTCTGAAGAATCCCCATCACCCGACAGAAGGGTAGAAGCAGAGAAGGAAGATGTGTCATTCTCAGCCTGCAGCAAATCCATCCAGTCCTCCGTGTCCTGCAGCTCCGTGCCTTCCTCCAGCAGCCATTCTGGGGGAGCTGATGGTGGGAGCTCTGAAGCAGGTAGTTCAGTTCCCAGCAATCCAGGAGAATCCTCAGAGGCAGCAGGACCCTCCGGCACCTGGCTGGGAGTTTGGGGAGATGGGATGGCAGATGTCAGTGCCTCTGTGGTAGGAAAAGAACTCGGAGGCCACTTCAAGCTGGTGACATGAGGAGAAGGTGTTACTGCTGCTGAAAAGGTGTTCGGAGGGCTACCCACTAGCGTGGTGGGTGGGTTGGTGTGCTGTGGCCCCTGGGCGGTGGCTGGCCCTTCAGTGGGCAAGGCTGCATGATCCATGTTTTTGGATGGGCTGGTGAGGACAGATGCAGAAGGAGAAGTTGTCTCTGGCTCAGTGACAGCAGGTTTGTCTGCTGGTGGTGGCAGGGGGGATTCTGTGATGGCCTGGAGAGAGGCTGCTTCAGTTGAGGGAGTCAAGTACGTATAGCTGAGGGTTTCTGTAGGCTCAGATGTCATGTCCAAGGCTGCAGAGAACGTGATGCGGTTGGGCTCTGAGGAGGGCACAGTGCTTGGTACCACTCGCACGATGGGGGGAGTGATGGGTTTTGTGGCCGTGGTTGGGGCTGTGGTAGAAGACTTGGTGAGGGGAGCTGCTGAAGAAGGAAACACACCTGAGGCTGGGATCTGGGCCCTTTCATTGTAGATAATGATTCCCTCCTCACAGGCTGCTTTGTGGGTACAGAGGTGCTGCTGGATGCACCAGTTACATCCCCAGAGACTGCTCACACACTTCTTGCACGGTGCCGACTTCCACAGCAGGGCCACTGCAGCACAGTCATAGAAAGAGAAGTCCACAGAAGCAATGAAGATGTCATGGAAACGCACTACGAGCTTTATGGTGACATGATCTGCTCCTGTTGGCAAAGCTGGTGCTTGGCTGGGATCTGGAGAAGGACACATGATTCCTGACTCTGTCAGCACTGCTGGGCTTTCATAATCTTTAAAGTAACATGAGTAAAATTCTTCCTCACGCAGGGAAGGTAAGTCCGAGATAGCCAGGAATATATTTCTCTTTTCCTCTCTGCTGATATTGGCTGGAGTTAGTGACTGGACAGACAGACACTGCTGTGTAGAGTTAAAGCTCCAGAGCCACTGCTCACTCAACCTGGACCGCAAGCACTCAGAGCGACGGGTGCACCGTCCCTGAAGGACACACCAGCCACAGTATGGATCTTTCAGAGCCAGCCGATGCTGCACTCCGGGCCAAAGCCTTTGTCCTGCAGCCATTCTGCTGTCAGGCTCTCTACACTACAGAAGTGTGACATAGAACAGAAACAAATTCTGAGATTGCATTGTTCCAATGTCAGCAGGTGAGCCACTGCTGTAGAAAAGTGTTGGTTTCTAAGCTAAATTAGCAACAAATTAAAGTTTCCTTTTCAAAAAACTTCACATAAAGCTGTCACTGTGGTTGCTTGGTTAGACGCTGATTTTATCTGATGGGATTTTACACGTCTGATCAGAATAGCAGAGGAACATATGTTCAGTTTCCTATTTTCCAACTTTATCGGCTGCTAATACAGTGATTAAACAAATGATGATTCAAGTACCTCTAACAAAATTTAACTGAAGCAGAATAAATGAAGCTAAATTTTTATCTTCTTTCATAAGAAACATATTTATTATCAGAATATATCCGTGTAACTTAAGCGCTTTGTTTTATCTCAATATAAAGGAATATGTGCATTGAAGGAAAATAATGGGAATAGCAAAGAGTCAAGGATGTGACTGTGCCATCCATGTCATGCAGTGTAACAAAATCCTGCAACAGATATTTTCCCATTATGTTCGGTTCATTCTGTCCCATACAGACTCCACTTTAGCTTTCTGCTTGTATGACCATTTTAACTTCCAGAAAGATATTGATGAAATGAGGTAGTCAATGAAGAACAAAAAGAATGACTAGAGGATTGCAAGGTATGCCTTTTAGTGACAGACTCAAGAAGAGCAATCAGTTTAGCTTAGAGAGTTTCCCACTGAAATGTTTACAGCTTCACCTGATCACAAGCTGTAAGCAAACGATACAGGGAGTACACTTTCCTTTAAAACACAAAAAAAGAGTAAGATACTATGTGCAAAGGCTGAAACTTAATTGCTTCTGCCTTCTCTGATACCACTGTTTTAGTTATTTTTTTCTTGTAACAAGAAATATTCAGGGTCAAATAAGAACCAATTCAGGCAAATCCCCTGATCTGTGAATACTGGGAAGTGATCCTGGGGTCCTCTACAGATATATGGTTTTTGAGTTTCCTCCAGAGTAAGATCTTAATTAGTAAAACCAGAAATACTTGTTGAAACCACAATGCAATGAAAGACACAAACTTGTAATTATGAAATAGAAATAACAATCTCATTAAAACAGGAAAGAGAGGTAAGCAGGATTCAATAAAGCAACTCTTTCCTCCAACTTAACACTTATTTAAAAGAAAAATGATATCAGTATTTTAAAATACCTTATTTATAACACAATTGGGAAGAAAACAGGAAGTTTAACACAAGACTGACATTTCCACTTTAACATAACTTTATCCTGTTTTCCAAGGAGTATGGCAACATAACAAGAAAAGATGCCCTCTCCAGGCAAAATGTAAACTAGGAATTAAATGGTTCATCAAGAACTGTAACAGTAATGTTGGTCCACTTGATAGAAGTTTGATAAGAAATCTCTCATACAAAAAGACACTTTAAGAACTTTCACAAAAATTTCCTAGTATTACATTCTACAGCTCATTGCAATCCTCTGCTCCATCCCTCTAACAGTATTTCACTGAGTCTTCACCAAAATCTGAATTATAATAGCCAGGTACTTATCCTCTGCTCAACACATACACTTTCCATAAATTCCTACCACGTCAGTGCAACAAGAATGAACATTCATTCCTAGCATGTTGAGAATGAATAATTACCAAATTGTTCAGTTTGATAAACTGGACACATAACCAGTCTTGCAAAATGAATGGTTTCTGCTTTGAAGTGAAAAAGACTTTGCTACATTGATGAAGACAAAACTTTTAATCTGTAATCAAGAATCTAATCCTTGCATGTTCTAGTATCAACTTCACCTGCTTTTGTGACCTTCAGCAATAGCTGTCTTCTATTATATTTCAGGGGGACAATATACACTCCTCTTTAGCAACTCATGGATCATCCCCAAAGACAGGAGATGAGAAACACAAGACCAGTTGTATGTTTACTGCTTGCTACAGTGAAGACATGACTCTCACTGGAATTAACTATCTGACACTGAACTACTTAGTGAGTGTTCTGATTTCATAATTTAATGGAATATTCAGGTCAGTTCTAAGAGATGGTACAGGGTAAGATTCTTGCTAAGGGCTCATAATGAAGGCAGTGGCAGAAAAACCTCATTTCAGCCAGGGTAAATAAAGCCATGATGATCTTTCCCAAATCATATTAACACTTTTAGTAAAGGGTTGTATAATTCACTTTAAATCAGAAGATTCTGTATATTAAAGCTAAGATACAGAGAAAATAGAAAATTAATTGCATTAGAAAATATTAGGATTAATGTTCTACTTCTCCAGGAAAACCTCACAACTATCCCAGTATCTTTTTTTTTTTGATATTACAAGTCACAGTTTGAATGAGATAGAGTCTTTTCGAGGCCAGTTTTACAGTGTATTATGCAATGATTAAAACTGGCACTTAATTAGAGAGTGTTACTGATTGATTATTGATTCCCATCTCTGTTTCTTATTTTCACCCTTGAACATGTTATCAACACAACATTATCTCATATCTTAGATACAAAAGTAGATTTTAATTAAAAATAACTAGTCAATACAATGTTAAATTATTCAATGGAAGTATATCTGTTTCTTTCGTATTCTAATTCAAAGAGATGATTCAGATCTTTACTGAGATAGCAAGTTTTCCGAGCTTCTGAATCAGAGAAAGTGATAAAAATCAAAAGGAAAAAAGCAATTAACAAGATTCATGGTTTTGCTATTTTATTGGATTTTGTCAGTCTATTACCATGACACTTTGCTGTATCCAGCATCTAGACTAACAGAATATTTAGCCACATGCATAATTTAAAACATATTGACATAAAGTCCCAACAATTGGTGAGTGGGGACTTGGACTTTAAATTAATCTGGGAAGGGATCAAATCTGCTTTTACTTTTATCTGGAACATAAATGAAGTGTGGTTTTTGCTTTGGTATCTGAATGTTATTGCCATGCAAGTAGTAAGTATTGATTGTTTGAACAGAGGCCCCAGATACACAAATGTATACACAGTTAAGTGAAAATGATGACACTGTTCTTGAACCCATCCACTAAAACCATGATCCCTTGCCATTCATCTAGCTAAACAAAGGATAACACAATATAAGATAATTATCCTCTGCACATTCCTAGTGTATTTAATGCATAACATCCCTCCTCAGTCACTCTAAAATTATTTTATATATTGACAACAACAATTACAGCATCAAAAACATATTATATCCAAGAAGTGTTCTTCCCACTAGGGTGATATACAAATTATGCTGGTAACTAGAAGTCTCCTCTTATTCCTTCTGTGCTATTGTATGTCAAAACTTAAGTCCATAGCTGAGCAAAAAGACTGAAAACCACATGGTTTGGAGGTGCTCCTGATGAGGAGTCAGAAGAAAAAGCCACAAATGATAGTACCCTGTCTTTAGGCAAAAGTTATCCGATTTTAAACTTGCTGTCAGTTCTGCATCATTTAGAAGACAAACAAAAAAAAACAAGTAATCAGAAAACCCCTACAACAAACAAACAAGCAAAACCAAAAGCAACCAAACAAAAAAAAAACAGCAAACACCATCAAACAAATAAAACAAAAACAACCAAAGCCCCCAAAACAGACAAAACCAGAAGAGAAGCATCTCACCCTAAAAAGATTATTCCCTCTAGCAGAGCACACTCACTTCATAATAGCTGATTTATTCAATACTTTCTTAAGTGAGAATCCTACAAGTGAAAACAAAACTATTGCACCTTATTTCTGTGTATATAACAAATGTAATAATAAAATATTTATTTAAATAAATTAGAAAACAAAAAGCTCCCTTTTTCATTACAAAATTCCTCATAAACGAAGTCAGGAAAAATAATTATAAACCATTTTAGCCAAATCCTCCTCCAGCATAAAGTGAGCTAGCTCTATTGCTGCAAATGAAAACTTGCCAGAATATAAACCTGTCCATAAAGCAATGAGGGATGTGACTTAGGCTTATTGAAAAAATTACATTTAGCAAGTGAAGTGCTAGATTTGGACCTGATTCTCTATGAGACCTATCAAGCATTATTTGCCCAATTTAATAGAATGCTCAAAACTATCCATTGTATAAGTATACTAATAATTCTTCTGAAGTCAAAAGATCTATCCATGCATTTAATATTTAACGTCCAGTGAGGCACTCAAGCATATATTAGAATTAAATGCATGGGGTCTCATAGAATCTGAAAAGAACTAGTCATTAGCTTGGTTATTTTGGTAAATTAAACAATGGATTAAGCACTCATTCCAGGCCAAGTATCTAGCTTTCCAATTTTATATTCCCAATCTTTTACAGACACAAATCTGTGAAAAGAAGGGTAAATTTATGCTGTTTTTTTTCTTGTGCATAGGATCATAATTTGTTGACTTCCCAAACAACATTGTATTTTCTGTTATTTGAAAAGTAGTACTTCTGGCACATGATGATTCCACATTAGAGATATTACTCCATTTTAATTCTGCAATTACAAACCCTACTTACTTTGCAATTTTCTATTGGATTTCATCACAATAATAAACAATATTAACTAGGTCATCACTATAGGTACATTATTTACTGCTGTAATTAAAATCCTGCATTCTTTAGGATCACTACAGTTGGTTACCAAGTTGATGCTGTATCAAATTTACCTTTGACGCAACCAAAATAATACCAACCCTGTGTCTGGAGGACACTAATGAACTTTCCCTTAATGATATGTCCTAATATCACCTTATAGAAATTCTTTTTCTCATTCCTGTCTTTCAAAATAAAATCTGCACTTTGATTTACAAAAAAAAAAAATTGCCTTCACTCTTTCTCAGTTTTCCCTGGCTTTGATCCTTGAGATCTCTGACATAATGATTTGTTTTTTCTAGAAATACTTTTTCCCCAAAGATAAAGTATAAATTTATTTACTCTGATTATATTATATTCAATAAGACAAACAAAAGTCAAGAATAGATGTAACTTCTGTAT